TCTTACAATAACCCCACAATAACAGGAGGGATCATGGTTATTCCCATTTCACCGGGGAGAAAAATGAGGTACAGAGAGGTCAAAAGCTAGGTAAGTGGCCCTGGGGATTCAAATCCAGGCAGCCAGACTTGTGAGTTCACGCTCTCAACCTCCATGCCAATGTGTCTATGCTGCTGTAATAGTGAAACTACAAGAAGGAATCGTCTATCCAAAGGGAACTTATAGAATAAACTATGGCACATCTGTACAATGGAACAGCGCCAACTTCTCAATGTTGCTATTGACTGATATTCATTGATATGGAAGAGAAAAAAAGGAGGCTATAGAACTATATATCTATAATACTATTTTTGGTTTTTGAATTTTACATAATTATTGAAAATGTATGTAAATTTCTCTGTATACAGAGAAAAGAGTCTGGTTTTCTCTGGAGGTAACATTTTTCCTCTTAATACCTTTCTATATTTGGGGAGTAAAGTGATCCTACACTACTTTCATAATCTAAGAGAAGCAATAAAGCTCTTTAAAAGGTTGTGACAATTACTGCTTCAATCGGTGAACAGGAGAGTGACCCCAGTTAATTTTCGAGCATACAGCATCACTGCTTCATGCAGGCAGGCCCAGCTGAGGCCCAGCAGCACACTGGCCTCGGCCTCGAGGTTTCCTGTCTCTTGGCAGCACAAATGCAGAGTTTCCACGAGTGTAAACCTCTCTGGGCACAGGCTGCAGTAGTATGGCTGGATTTCCAGTCTCTGGCCTCAAGACGTGTTTCCTCACTGTTGCTTCATTAAATGCCCTGGCCGTCTCTTACCTGAGTAGTTCTGTTTTCTGGAGCACACAGACTACAGGAACCACAGAACAAAACCCTAAATAACCACAGGGGAGATTTGGCAAAGTTGGTGGTTCTGTGTGCTTTTCATCTATCCATTCGGCTGTCTGTCTGTATTGATTTTGTTACATGCACAAGGCTCCATGCTAGGAGCTAAAGGGATCTGAAATAAAGGAGACAAAAAACTATTGTCTATTAAGGAGACACAAAACAGTATAAATTAAATGTTTATAGAACAAATTATTCAACTGAGTTAGCAAAGCTCTATTTGGTGACAATGATCAGTAAGGCACCACTTGGGGACACAAAGAGGGAGCTCATAGTCTAAACAGAAAGACATAGTCGCTTCCAGGAGGAAGTGATGTTTCAGCTGGATTTTGAAAGAGGTCTAGGGTTTGTCAGCAGGCAAGTGGGAGGGCAGTTCAAGCCGAGGGAGCAGGAAGAGCAAAGACTTGGCGGCCCGAAGGAGCATGGCCAGGAAACACCAGGTCCAGGACAGCGTAACATAGGTGAGCAGTGACATAGGCTCGAGGGGTTATGTCAAGGCCACGTCCATGGAGAGCTAAGACATTTGGACCTTAGTCAACAGGAAGTTAGCAAACAACTTGATTCCATGGAGGGACATAAGGAGACCCACATTTTAGAAAATGAACACTAGTGACAGTGTCACTGAAAAGGTAAACAATCAAAACCGAACTTCCACCAACTCCCATCACCACATTTACCTGACTGTCTGCATCTGGACACACCTACCGCCCTCCTCCTGCCATGGGGATGAACAGAGTGACCTCTGTCTACAGTCAATTCTTCCACTCGTGCACTAGATCTTATCCCCTCCTTTCTACCCAAGGACATGGCTCGAGAAATTCTTCTCCTCTTACCTACATTAACACATCACGGCCATCAACCTACAAACATGCTATTATTCCTCCTATCTTGAAACACTCTCTCTTGACCCATTTCCTCTTCCAGCCACTGTCCTGTTTCTCTCCTCTTTACAAAACTCCTTGAAAGAGCTGTCATATTCAATGTCACCAACTCCTCTCCTTGTTCTCTCCCTTAGCAACTCCAGGGCTCACTCACGAGCCCTTTGTGACTCGGTTATCCCATCCTCCTAGAAGCACTTTCCTTTCTCAGATCCCAGGCCCCTCCCACGTGCCTGTATCTCCCCTGCCTCTCCGATGCCCCTTCTCGGGCCCTGACCCTCTTTTCTTCTTGGTCTACATTCCCTCCCTTCATGGTCTTATCCAGCTGCATGCTGACACACCACAGTTGTAGATTTCCAGCCCAGATCTCCCTGCGAACCCCAGGCTTATTTCTCTATCTGCTTTCTTGCCATCTTCACTTAGATATCTGCGCTATCTCAAATTTAACCTGCCCCAAACCTGTTCCTTGTGCATTTTTCCCTAGCTCAGTTCATACAATTCCATCTTCTTAGTCGCTCAGGACAGAAATTTTGGAGTCACCAATGATGTATGCCATTGGCTCCAACTTCAATATATATCCGATATCTGACATGCCTTCCAATGTCTACTCTGCCACCCTGGTCCAAGCCATCATTACCTCTTGCCTGGACTACGGCAATAGCTTCCTAAGGAGTCCTTGTTTCCTCCCTTGTCCCCACACACAAGTCCATTCGCCACCCAGTAAAGATGATCCTTTTAAAACCAAGTCAGGTCATATCACTTACAACCTTCTAACAGGTCCTCATTTATGTCAGAGTACAGACCAGCTTTTTGCAATGGCCAACAAGACACCAGATAATGACTCTCCATTACTTAGTATGTTATCACATCTGCTTCCTTCTGCATGAATGCAGCTCCATGCAGACAGAGGATTTTGTCTGTTGTCAGCACTTGATCCATGTTTGCTGAATGAATGAGTAGAGAAGGAAGATCAGAGTGACGAGGCTAGGGAGTGGGGTACCTACCGGTCATGAGGTATTGGAATCATCCAGGTGAAAAATCCTGAGGCCCCAAATCAGGACAGTGGTCATGGGAAGGGCATGGCAGAACGTAGCTCAGAGTCATTTTGCCACAATTTTATCAGCCATGGTGACCAAATCAATGCTGTGGATGAGGAGATGGGCAGGACTCAAGGAGGCTCCCTGGCTTTTTGTTGGAACAAGACAGGTGAAGGGGAGGTAAGCAAAGTGTAGGGCATCTGGACTTGACAATGCTGAGTTTAAGAAGAAATGTTTGGCACACAAACAGCCTCCTCTTCTTTTTGGAAATTAATTAACTGAAAATATATTATCCGGTTGGTACCATTGTGGCACCACCTCTCAGTTAAAATATAAATTCTGCCAGTTTGATGATCATTATTGTTAGAAAGCAGGTAATGTATGCTTAATGATCTACCCAAGCTTATCAGATTATAAGCTCTGTTTTAAAAATAATGTTTTTGGCTGGGTGCAGCAGCTCATGCCTGTAATCCCAGCACTGTGGGAGGCCAAGGTGGAAGGATCACTGACCAATCGGGGCAACAAAGGGAGACCCTCTCTCTACTAAAAATGAAAAATTAAAAAGTTAGCCAAGCATGGTAGTGCACACCTGTAGTTCCAGCTACATTGGAGGCTGAGGCAGGAGGATTGCTTGAGCCTAGGAGTTCAAGGCTACAGTGAGCCAGGATTGTGCTACTGCACTCCAGCCTGGGCAACAGAGTGAGATCTAGTCTCAACAAAAAAGTTGTGCAATAAATAGTTGAATGATGAATGCATACTCGGATTTTTCCAGGAGTTAGGAGCACAGTAGTTCTCAAACTTTGGTTTGCTTGCTTCAAATTCAGGTCCCTGCACCAGTACCCTGGATATGACTTAGCGACCAGGGTCTGGCCAGTCCTGCAAAGAATGTGCTATTTATTTATTTATTTATTTATTTTTGAGTTGGAGTCTCACTCTGTTGCCCAGACTGGAGTGCAGTGGC